AAACAAAAGCTACAAATATTACTGATATATCTTCTCTACCAGTTTAAAATTAATTTTGATCATCTGTTTTAAAGCCTTAAAACCCCATTCTCCCTTTTCACCACCTTCCAGATCCAGTACTTTCTGAAAACTTTGTAAAGCAGCTTTAGGATCATCTTCTTTGAGTGCTTTACTATTATAATATTGATTTTCTAAATCAACATCTGGTTCAGAGTTGGAATCTTCAGAATACTCCTAAAACAAATTAGCGATTAGGGATGTAAAACCAGTAAGAATGTATAACAGACGCATTCTGTTTCATGCATGATATATACGAAACATCACTTATCCTTGTTCACCAAATGTTAAACAAAAATAAAAGATATATTATACACATCATGCGTGAAACGGAATGCATCTGTTGTTATGCATTGCTAATAATACTTACTGCACCTAATAAGTATTATTAGTGTTTAATTTAAGTTGCTAATATAACCTAACCCAATGAAAGATTGAAGATATTTCCGTTATAAAAATATAACGGAAGAATTGTCGAACAGTAAGCCCATTCATCGAGGACGATCTCTCGAGCTATTTTTAATAATTTTTAAATACCGTATGCGAGAGCTCTTGAAATTGTAACCTTACTGTGAGCCGGAAGAAATGTTCTGCGAAATAACGACTCTGTGGATTTCCGCAGGGAAACTTACCAGTCCATAATCCTCCTCTTCCTCGCACATGAAATCATCCTCACCATCTGACATTTCGTAGACTCCTTTCGACTAAGGTTAGCACAAATTTTACTCGATTTCCTATTGATAATGACAATAACGTACGAAGAATACTATAACGTATTTTGAAATCCGACTCCGACAGCGCATTAAGTTCAGATCCTCAAGGTGCTTTTTCATGAGCGTCAGTTGACACGTGTCAAGGTGTCTTTTCATGCAGACGCTTGACGCTTATTTCCGGCGTAAAAATAAGTCACGTAATAGAAATTGACGAATATTAGGGCGCGTTTATACTATCAGGATGCGATTACATGGAGCGCGGTTCGCGGTATGTGGTACAGTAATTAATAGTAACTAACTAGGCAACTAGGAAACCGCGTACCACATACCGCCTATTTCTTTCACTGATATTACATGGAGCATGGTTTGCGCGCGGTTTGCGGTATGGACTAGTGACAAACTCACATTAGTATTTTTTTAAATATATTAACTTATTTTTATGAATACTTTATTGATACTCTTATTTTATTAACAGATTTATTTAATAATTGCATTTAAATCAATTAATCCCATTAAAAAGTGCATAGCAGTGTTTAGTAATATGAGTTTGTTACTAGCACGTGCCGCAAACTGCGCGCAAACCGCGCTCCATGTAACATCAGCGAAAGAAATAGACGATACGCGGTTTCCTAGTTACCTAGTTAGTTACTATTAATTACTGTATTGCGCACCGCGTATCGCGTACCGTGCTCCATGTAATCGCATTCCCATGGTTCTTGCACATCAGTACGATGCGCGACATACGATACGCGACGCGTGACATCCAGGTTGCCTTCACTCGAGTGCACTATGTATCATTTTATCCTTGTTATTCACCAAATGTTAAACGAGGATAAATAATACATGGGTGTACCCGGATAAATTTCCGAACACAGTTCAATAAGCATATATATAATTTTTCCAAGTATCGCGCGACGTTGTAGCAAAAGTTAGATGAAGTTGAACATTTCTCGTACGCGACAAGCAAATGAGTTGAGCTGCGCAAAAAGCAGAATTAATTGAAAAATGTGATCTTGGTATCAATTATGAAACTTTATTCAAGATGGAAAGTGAAAAACGAAAATTCTCCATTAATTTCAATGGTAAAAATTTTCACTTTTCACTTTTGATCCTAGGGATAAAGTTTCATGAATAGGTGCATCCAGAAGCACGATTGCTAACTGAGCGCTCAGTGAGCTCTTGCATTTAATTGACATATTCCATTAGATCTAAAAATGTAGACCAAACAAATAAAAGAGCTCATTGAGCTCTCAGTGAACAATCGTGCTTCTGGATGTATCCATTGATACCTTCTTATATATTTTCTTATAACCTTAATACGCAACAAAACATCTTACAACCTCTACTGGAAAAATTACATATATGCTTATTAGACTGTGTTTGGAAATTTATCCATGGTGCACCATGTATTATTTATCCTCGTTTAACATTTGATGAACAACAAGGATAAAATAATACATAATGCACTCGAGTGAAGGCAACCTGGATGTCGCGTATCACGTGTCGCGCTTCGCGCTGGTGTGCAAGAACCATTAGGCTTCTCTCTGATATGATGCTGCATATTGACTGCGTTCAGAAAAACACAACAGTTTTGCAATCGTTTTATGATTCTTTGCTGAGATAGGACGATTCCTCTTGATCTAAAAACATAACTCAATCAGCGCGAAGAAAACTTCCAACAATTACAAAATAAACATTTTGCTGTACGCAGCCATTATTATGACAACATGATAGTAACAGTATGAATTTTGATGATGACGATTTTGAAGTTGTCGGTAAATTGCTACTCAATGTTATCATATCGTGAAGGCACCAAGTTGCCAACAAATGAGGACTTACAATCAGTTGGTACAATTCTAGTAGCAACACATACTTAGCAATGTATACTTAGTAAACAACATGCCAGCAACAAGACACGTTGCTATCTGAGTTTATAATAAAAACCAAAGAAAAACAGTGATTCATCCTAAACAAGAAAGGAAATCATTCTAAAACATTAGATCAAATAATGATAAGAAAACAATGAAGAACCATTCCATATTAATTGCAGATTGAGAAAATCTTATTAAACACATATTAATCATAGCTCGAACGAAACAATACCTTACTGAAAAAAATCATATTACAACGTTACATGATAAAATCATGTAATTAAAACATGTAAATCACGTAATGAATTTCAAATCAGTAGATTTTTTAAAAATAATGTAATTTGAAAAGTCACATAATATTAGAAATAATTGTATCCATCATGTGATTTTATAGTTATCAAATTTTGAAGAATTGAATGATAGAAATAAAAAAAAGAACATATCATCATGTGACTTTTCAAATCATATAATTTAAAAAAATCGCTAATTTCGAACAATCCGTTACATAATTTAATTACATATTTTAATTATATAATTTCATCGTGCAACTGTGGGTGTGGTTAAGTTGCTACTACAGCCGGTATTCATTACAGAACAGTGTATACAGTAATGCAACTCTCTGTCGGCACATTTGATGTGTTGGCCAAAATGAAGTGCGCATGCGTGAAATAAGTAAGTTATATAGCATTGTCATCGTCACCACTTAAACTTCTTTCTCTTTTCATCCTTTTTTCACTCTGTCAAAATTCCTCGCAAAACTCACTAGATTTATTCGCATCGCAATTCATTGAAGTGAGTAAGTGCTATTGTAGGAACATATTAGAGCATATTAGAGCATGCGACGCGAATAAACCTAATATTGTGATGAAATAATTTAAATTTTACGAAAATTAATAAAAATAAATTGTAAATATATTAAAAAATAAAGAAAAAATATAGAAAAATTAGGAAAAATATTAAATTAACTTAAAAATGTTTATTTGTATAAAGAAATATTATATAATTATATATCTATGGAAATGTTATGAGAAAGCTAAAGAAATTTATATATGGCCAAAAAATAAGTTTAAAATACAATAAATAAAAAGAAATCCTTTTTACTCAATTTTCTATGTTTCTTTTTATTTACTTTTTCATTTTATCACTTTTTCACAAAAATTAGACCAATCTCTCGAGATTTCTCATACAACATTTCACCAAATAGACAATATACGTAATACTTCCCTCTAAATTTTTACTCTGAATCATGTATGCTTGAAAGACAAATATTTAAATAAAACATTGAAACGCTTATTTAAATAGAGAGAGAAAGAGAAAGAACAATAAAAAAAGGAAGAAAAGAGACGGAGCAACTTACTTATTTTATGCATGTGCTCCATTTTGGCCAACATAGAATCAGGAGAGTTACGCTACTACAGTATACATTGTGTTAGAGAGTGAGTGTTTGCTGCTATTGATGTATTGTTCCAGATCTAAAATGCTGATTGGATAATCTAAAAGAATACACCAATAATAACGAGCGCTCATTCAACTGTTGAGTACTAAACGCAGCCATTCACAACCATCTTAAGTACGGTTTTAAAAAATGACGAATCAATCAGAGGGCTGCATTAGAGTTTTAAAACAATAAATGCATCCAAAAGCACGACCGCTCACTGAGCGCTCAATGAGTTCTTATACCCGTTTGGTCTATATTTTTAGATCTAATGGAATATGCCAATCAGATGCAAGAATTCATTGAGCGCTCAATGAGTGGTCGTGCTTCTGGATGCACCCATTACTTAAGGTGGTCTTGAAATAAGAATCTACTGTGAATATCGGTTCACAAATGCTTCAAAGCGTTTAGATAATCAATCGGAAGAAAGAATTTTATTACTTAACCAACAAAAAATGCTTCAAAACATTTGTAGCGATATCTCGACCGCACTCTGTGAGACATAATTTTTTTCAGTAGGATAATATTAGATCTGTTTTTTATTGCTGCACTCTAAATCGGTGCAATAAGTTAAAGTAAAACAAATATATATTTGTTTTACTTCAACTTATTGCAGTGTGTGTACCAGTTCAGAAAATGCAGCAATAAAAACAGATTTATTTACTTTTGATTAATTCTTTTAATATTTACATTTGTGACCAACATCTCACTTATTATATAAATTGTATTAGTAATGTTTCGTTCAAGTTATGATTAACATGTATTTAATAAGATTTTATAAGCTCCACTCATATGGTTAGTATACCTCGCGTTTTGGAACAGCATAAAGTTCTGTTTACTCGGAGTTGAATTTTGGAACGCATACGAGACCTCTACTTAATACACAGTATTGCAAAAACTCCCTAGTATCTCGTCGGTGTCGTAACTAAAAGTAAACGTAGGTCGTAGACATAATTTAACGTATATTGCGTCAAATTTTATAATCACAGTAATTACTTTTTAAAGAGTAAGAGTTCCATATGGTTAACGGTAAGTGATATATTATATTATATATTTATTTTTAAGTATTTAATACTTTGAACATGAATTGTGAATGTGTAATAAAATAGTTTTGAAATGCTTAAGAAACATAACCTCATTAATTTATATGGTAATTATCTGGAATTGTGTCTTGTTCACCGATTTTGAAATTAGGCTTATTCGACGCGTTTTTACATGAAAGAATCTGGCAAAAAAAAGTGTTCTACCTGAGATATTAAGCGTTAAAGTTCACGACTATTTAGATTAGGAAATCTATCACAGAGACAAAATAAGGTCTATAATTGTACTGTTTCACTGGGTTTCGACTTTCTACGCGAAGCGACTCATCCCCAACTCTCATTCCCCTTTTCTCTGCAAAGAGGCGCACGACTTCTATAATTGTACTGTTATTGTTGAGGTTAGAAAATCTGTCATATAGACAGTAGGGTGTAGACTAGTGCTTATTGGTTCAGGGCTACGCCGTCCCGAACAAAAAAAAAAAAGAATAAGTTGCAGCGTAGACAGTGTTCGCTTGGAATATTTCTAACCCATGAAGATAGTGGGGTATGAGAACAGTCTTTTTAGAGCGTATTTTTACTGTGTAGGCTGCAACTTCTAGGCAGTTAGGCCCCAAGCGGATAGGATGTTTATTTTTGTTTGGAGCAGCGTAGCCGCTCCGAACCAATAAGCACTAGTCTATACATTCCACTGTCTACATGACAGATTTTTTAATTTCAACAATTATAGAAGTCGTACACCCCTTTGCAGGGGGGAGGAGGAATGAGAGTCAGGGGTGACAGTCGCTTCATGTAGAAAGTCGAAACCCATGTGAAACAGTATAGTCGTGAACTTTAACGCTTAATATCTCGGTTCGTAGAGCAGACCGACATTTCTTTTGCCAGATCTTTCGTTTCATGCAAAAATACGTCGAATAAACTTAATTTCATCAAAATCAGTGAACAAGACACAATTCTAGACAATTACTATTTATACAATCTTTTATATGTGAGGGGGTCAGAAATGTCTAGTTATCTAAAAGCATATCAAGGCATATTCAAGAGCTTCTTTTTTATGGTGCACAAACACCTATAAAAACATAAATTTAAAACGTAAAATGCAAGCAAATGAACATTTTTATTTATATTAATGCTTTACGTTCTCAAGTATGATTAATTACTTAAATTTGTTTAAATCCTATTGCTTTCTTACGTTTTTAAAATATGCCCCACTAATCTAAATATTTGTGTATAACTGATTATTTGAAAAACGATAATGCTGTTTTCGGTTTATCGATCATGTAACTTTTCCCTAAAGCGCGAGCGGAAACATGAAATTTATATATATATATATGTATATATGTGTATACAAACATATACATACATAAAAATGTATACTTTTAACGTTTCTGCTCTAGAAAAAAAGTTATATGCTCATGTAGCATAGAATTTTCAATGTTTTTCAATGTTCTGTGCTATGCTTGGGATAATTGATGTCCAGTCCCCAGATTGTCCCCAGCTGGATTCAGATTTCCACCCGAGTGTTACCCAGGTATCACATCATCTTAATTGTTTATCGAAGTTGTTGAGTTGTTTACCTTAATTGTGTACCGAATATTAAATAAGGATAACATGATACCCAGAGAGCACCTGGGTTGGAATCCAGACACGTTCCAGGGAATCGATTGTATATCTTGAAATGAAGTGAAAATTACAAATTGCAAATGAGCAAATTCACTTATAGGTATTACCAATTAAATGATGAATATTTGAATGAAATATAATTATGAATATTTGAGTCTGGTCACTTTTGTAATTTTCACCTCATTTCAAGTTATATAATCAACTCCTAGGATATCGATCATGCATTTTCCTTAGAGCGAAAATATAAAAAACGAAAATTTTTATATGCTACTCATTTGCCAGAACATAACTGAAAAATTGCTATTTTTTTAATTGTTTACATAAATAGAACAACCTTTTAAAGATCTTTATCCTGATAAATCGGCATAACTAAGTTAAAACTTATCACAAGAAAGCAATTATGTCAATATATCGCATTTATTTCAATATATTGCATTATCGCATTTTGTCAATTGCTTTGCTTTAACAGTTATTAAAATGATACAGAATCGAAGTATACAAGATGAAACCAAGAAATATATCTTGTGTGACGCGATAAACATTTCAAATATCAGTTGAATACTGCAAGATTATGGCAAATATAAAAAAGTATGCCAAATGGACAATTTTCTTTAATAATTTCATTAACATTTCCAATGTGTTAAAAATTAATATAAGATAATATAATAAACGCTCGTATAATTATTATATATACGAGTATATATGATAAGTAAGGTTGGGTAGTACTAAGTTAAAAAGATGAAAGTTAAGTTAAAAAGTTAAAAGTTAATCAATTTTAATTTAACTTCGTTACATTTTAGACTCTTAACTTTTTAACTTTATTTAGTTACTTTTTATATTCATAATTATTAATTTTTTATTTAATTCTTTGAAGTTAAATCTTAGATATAATATGCGGTAATAGCGATAACTTAAAATAAGGTAAAAATTGTAAAAGTGAGCAAATTTACTAGGTGTTGATCAATGAAATTATAAATATTGTAATGAATTTGCTCACTTTTGTAATTTTCACTTCATTTCAAATTACACAATCGATCTCCAGATTTAAATTTGTCAGAAACCGTGTATTTCGATGTATCTAGTTTCTGATAAGTTGAAATCTACTTTTTTTTTACTATCGCTACTCCTTCGTATTGTGTCTGAAGCTTTAGCTTTAGCACAGGTCAGTATTCATAGTAGAATCTTATATACTGTAAACAGTATATGTAAACCAAACATATAAATAAAATATAAAGTATTTTCTAAATGAAGTATATATTTGTCGTTTCCCTTATTTGTAAGACTGAAATCCTGGAATCATGAATTTAAAAAATAAAAAAAACAAATTTAATTTTTAACTTTTGAATTATTTTTTTTAACTTAACTTTTAATTCAATTAATTTCATTATAAATTAACTTATATCTTAATTAAGTTAAATTTTCAAGGTTAACTTTAACTTATTGTTAGTTAAAAAAAAAATTAACTTACCCAACTCTGATAACATTAATAAAATTATATACGAGAATCATTTGAAAAGTTTTGAGCCTCAACATGAAAATGGTATTATTCGTCGAAACCATTTTGGACGTTCAGTTGTTATTTAACAGTCATTTCTGATATCAGGTGATGTCAATGTTTTTGTTTGATGAAAATCTCTAATAGTAATAATCTTCATGTTGAAGCTCAAAACTTTCAAACGGCCCTCGTATATATTGTATAATTATAGTCCCATTAAATTTTCCAAACAAAATTATATATTATATAATTATGATTGTATAATATATATTGTAATTATTATTATTATTATTATTATTATTAGGCGTTAGGAACTCGAAAGCTCATTGCCGCAAATACCAAATCCCGCCACTGTTCCCGTCCCTGAGCAAGATCCCTCCATTTGTGACCCTCGTACCCCATTTCGTTAAGGTCCATTCTAATATTATCCTCCCATCTACGTCTTGGTCTACCCAATGGTCTTTTCCCATCCGGTTTACCAATTAGTACTTTATATGCAATATATATTGTAATATATATCTATATCAATATATATTATAGTTGTACAATTACCTATGTTATATATATCTATGTTACATATAATTTTATTATGTATTATATATTATAGTTAGTTTTTTTTTATTATGTCATCTTATATTAATTTTTAACACATTAAAAATGTTAATAAATTTGTTAAACAAAATTGTCCATTTGGCTTAATTTTTATATTTACCATAATCTTGCAGTATTAAACTAATATTTTAAGTGTTTTCCGCGTCACACAAGATATATTTTTTGATTTCACACAAGATATATTTCTTAGTTTCATTTTAGGTGCGTTCAGGGAGTCGCTATCAAGCTATTCGCGGAGTTACAGATAGCACAATAACGTCAATAGGTAGCATTTTACGTCATAATACTATTAATGCTATTTTTTCCAAGATAGTGTATTAGTAGCGTTTGGATGCTCCGTGAACAACTCTAGCGTAGCGTTGGTAGTGTTTAACAATCGTCGAGGTTAAATTAATGTTCGAGGGGTGTTGATGAATATCCGCCTTGAGTCACACAAACGTGCGTTATGTGTCGCATTTCATTGATAGACCGCGGTCAGATCCCGTTCACGCAGTGCTTATCGGTGTGGTTTCTTGTAAGCAGTGTGACCAAAACAACACTTGACTTTTAGTTCAATTCTTTATTTACTTCCCGAATAGCGACTTGATTCAATATGCTTCGTTAAACGATACTTGTATCCACGACTAGCCGTACAGAAGTTGGCGGTAGCATACACAGTTCAGTAATTAATGGCGAACAAGACGCACAGAGAATGTACGAGTAAAAGATGCGCAATAATACAAGAAGAACACGCGTAGTGATACAAAGAACACATCGCGCGCATACAACATCCAGCTTGTCGATAACGCAGAAATTGATAAATTGTAACGGAGCTCGATAACAAGATAGGAAATTTTTATCCCTAACAAACCACCCGCCTTGAAGAGACTGTCCTTCAATTAATTTCGTTTATTTATTACTAGCGACCAAAACTGGGGTTACAAGAAACTTGACGTAACGATTGATGTGGCAAATGAAAGTAAATTAAATTATGAATCAAATGAATATGTGAAAATTGTCGCGACTAATCCACTTATGCTTAGTCTATTTATTAAATATAAAATTCAACAAATAATTGTAATAATAAGAATGACGCAACTAAAATTAAAACTAAACGAAGCATACATGAATAATGCAATGACAAATTTACAAAAATAGTATAGCTAATTTTAACAGAGGTCTAACTTTTCGCTGTTTTAATTGTGACCGAGCGTGCCACACCGTCGGATCCTAGTTGTATATTTTCAACTCTACCAGTTAACCATTGGAAAGAAACTAAACCTTGTTGTTTGATCAAGACTAGCTGGTCGGGTTGAAGTTGTTGACCCTTAGATGTTTTCCATTTGTGTCTCTCCTACAAGGAGTTGAGGTACTCCACCTTTGCCAGAAATGTTAGCGTTTTTTCTCGATCAATTACCAGCGTGTCCGTGTTTACATCAGTTAAATCCTGGTCGGGAAAGCCATTTAGCGGTAAACCGATCAGAAAATGCCCTAAGCACAGAAAAGCCAAATCGTTAGCGTCTGAACTAAGAGGAACGAGAGGTCTCGAGTTTAGAATTGCCTCAATTTCGCAGAGAATTGTTTGCAGTTCTTCAACAGTAAAATTTGTCGTGCCTATAATACGAGTGAAATGAAAGCCGATTTGACGGCCTCCTAGAGGCCGCCAAAATGGGGGGCATTCGTTGGAATAAATGTCCTCGTGGTATGTTGATCGCGTAAGAAATTATTTATAAAATGCGTTTGATCGGTTCTAAGAAAGTCGTAAAATTCCTTAATTTGTTTTTGCGCTCCGACAAATGTAGTTGTGTTTTCGGAGTATATACATTGGGGCCTATCACGACGCGAGATAAATCTCTTTAAAATCGCGATAATCGCTGATAAAATCACTGATGAGTTTTAAGTGTCACCTTCGTGGCAAAACATAAACGGCTACATAAGCCTTACGAGTTTGTGAATTATGATATTTACTATCTTGTACAGACAAAAGACCGGCGTAATCGACGCCACAGTGAGAGAATGGACGAGAAATGTTAACTCTAGACGTAAGTAACAGGCCCATCACTGCTTTAAAAAAAATTGGCTTAGCTTAAAACTAATTATGCAATTCTTAATTATTTTGCGAGTGGTTGAACGCAATGAAAGTGGCCAAAATCGTTGCCTGACAGTGGCCATAGTGGTCTGTACGCTAGAGTGCATGTTGCGCAAGTGCTCGAATTCAATTATTTGTTTAATTAAAATATGGTTTCGCGGCAAAAGTATTTGATGACGCGCGTTGAACGACAAGACCGAATTCTTCAGCCTTCCGCCGAATCTAATCAATTTGTTGTCACCCATGAAAGGAGATAATGAAAGTAGATTGCTAGAGCAACTAATGTTTATTCGTTTGCTTAGGACAGCGTATTCATTTAAAAAGGTTTGAGTTTGGACGGCTCTGCATATGACGCGTAAAAAATTTTAAATTTCTTCAGAAGATATCATAATAATTAATGGCCTTGAACATGGAAGATTTGAAAGTTGAAGGCAATAGGCTAGGATTCGACAAGCCTTGTTTAGATTAGAAAATTTATTGAGTAAATCATTAATAACGCTGCAATCAATTAGCGTAACGATAGCGGAGACTCGCTTCTGTTCGGGAATTTCATCTTGATTAATAGTAAAATTGCCGCTTGGCTAGTTATTCGCAGACATTATTAAGAATGAAGGGCCATGCCACCATAAAGAAGAGCTTATCAATTTATTAGGGAGCAATCCTCGGGAAAATATGTCCGCCGGATTATCGCAAGAGGCTACATGACGCCAGTTACTCGGGTCGGGTAGATGTTAGATTTTTCCAACGCGATTCGCCACAAATACAGACCATTTGTGCGACGTTGAAACTATCCAGCTTAATGTTATAGTGGAATCTGACCACAAAAAATTTTAATGTTTGTGTTAAATCAAGCAAGATTTGAGCTTGTCGATCAACTGTGCTAACAAAAACGCGGCAGACAATTCTAAGCGCGGCAAAGACACAGTTTTAAGTGGAGCCACTCGGGACTTAGAACAGATTAAATTTGATTGGTAATCTTAGGAACCGAACTTAGTACGAAGGTAAATACATGCGCAAATAGGCTAGCTTCGCAAAAGCTATGAATTTGAATCATATCAGGATTTGCTAAAATTCCTACACAACGAGGAATTCGCAGCTGACTCAAGATCGACAGCTGGAGCTTGAATTGAAGGTAGCTTGTGTGGATATTTTATG